GATGTCATCGTCGATGAATGATAATAAAGCCGAGTCTTCTGTGGAAGTCAGGTGAGTGTCGTCGAGCGACAAGCTCAAAACAGTGGAGACTGATTTGGGTGGAAGTCAGGTGAGTGTCGTCGAGCGACAATCTCTTTCTCTCAAATTCTAAACCTGTGAAAAAAAAATTCCTAAATTTTTTTTTCTGCAATTGTAGACACTTGCTCCAATGTAGGTCCGCCGGTGGTTAGAGGTACTCTCTAGAAACCAATTTGAGTTGAGAAAGGTGGGCCTCCAATTTCTCATTTAGCTTTTGCAGATGATCTTATGCTGTTTATGGAGGCTAATGTTGAACAAATTGACGTGCTTATGAAGTACCTTAATTTATTTGAGAAAATATAAGGAGAAAAGTTGAGTATTGAAAAAACAACTATTTTTTTCTCCAGGAACACTGATGACAATACGGTAAGGAACATCACTCAGCGTAGTGGGTTCAAACTTGTTAAAAATATGGGTCGATATCTGGGATTTATGATGCAACATGGGAGAGCTACTAGGGATTTCTATGAGAGCATAATAGAGAAAGTTAAGGTGAAACTGAATGCTTGGCAACAACAATACCTTTCTCAGGCTTGTCGAGTTACATTGGCTCAATGTGTGATGGCGGTAATCCATTTTACCAGATGTAAAGTTGTAAAATCCCTAGAGATGAGAAAATGCAACGTGACTTCATATGAGGTGATATGGAGAATCATAGAAAGTATCATGGTATCAGCTGGGATATCATTACTCGTCCTAAGGCTTGTGGTGGTCTTGGTTTGAAAAGCTTAGAATTGATGAACGATGCATTTATTGCTAAATGTGCATGGGAATGTCATTCAAATCTCAATCAACTTTGGGCTCAGGTGCTACATGCCAAATATGTTGCTGATAGCCAATAGGGTGGGCTTTTCATGGCTAGAAATGATGATTCTAATCTTTGGAAAAACATGTGCAGAATGTGGGTGGAATGAATTGCAGGACCGGTTGTGTTGGAAATTAGGAGATGATAACCGCATCAACTTTTGGAAGGATAAATGGTTATTACAACAGAAAGCATTGATTGATTTTGTGAATATTGATCATAATATGGACACGAATAAATCAATGGCGGAGTGGACATCAGTAGATGGAGAGCAGGATTATGAGGAGCTAAATCGTTGGTTAATAGAGGATATCGTTGATTTATTTCGTAGCACTTTGGTTCCTTGTAGTACTGATGGACCTGACTCTATGGTTTGGGATACCACTTGAAAGTGGCCTTTTGTAGGCCATGAACATAAAAGAGGGAAAAAATTAAATTTTTGTGCGGAAGAAGCAACTTTTGCCCACCCTCAATCATGTTCAACCCACGAATCATGCAATAGACATGTTAGGGTTTAAAGTTGATATCTTTATTTGGATAATTATTCCTGATCAAATGCGTTTTTGTCTTGTAAGAGAAGAACACTTTTTCGAATGCCCAATATCCTTCAATGGAGGTTTGCTAGACTCAAGAGAAGAATAGAGATTGGGTAGTGCGTTTGGTTATTCCAAGAGAGAGATAGCCGCCACACTTATGTGTGTGTTGGCTAAGGTTTCAGTGGAGAAAATTAGAGAAAAAGAAGAGATACGAAACTAAGGACGAAGAGGGGCTATTTATAGATGTGGCACCTCATTCACCTAAGACTAGGTCAAATCAGCGCCTCATCAAATCCCAATCTTATTGGGTAATTTCCTTAATTTTATCCAATCAATCCAATTGATTGATTTCCCTAATTTCAGCCAATTAATTTAATTAATTAGTTTCCTTAATTTTATCCAATCAATCCAATTGATTGGTTTCCCAAATTTCAACCAATTAATTTAATTAATTGGTTTCCTTAATTTTAGTCAATCAATCCAATTGATTTGTTTCCCCAATTTCAGCCAATTAATTTAATTAATTGGTTTCCTTAATTTTGGTCAATCAATCCAATTGATTTGTTTCCCCAATTTTAGCAAATTAATTTAATTAATTGGTTTCCTTAATTTTGGTCAATCAATCCAAAATCTATATAGATGTATTAGTGACATCAAAGGTCTTGCAGTTGATGAATCAAATATTTCGAAGAACATATGATCTTGGAAAGGTCCACAAAGAGTTAAGTTGTTTATGTGGAAGGTGGTCCATGGTAGGTTACTCACAATGAGTAATATTTCCCAATGGAATGGTGGCAACGATTCCTGTCCCATATGTAGAACTGAGAGAGAGAATCTATCCTTCATGCCTTAAGGGATTATCATCAGGCTAAAGCTTTGCGGTGCGGGTTTGTTCCAGAGGAGTTGTGGGACGTTTTTTTCGATCAACATATATTTTCATGGCTGGATAATTTCATTGGTGATTGGAAGGAGTCATCAGCAAAAGGATTTTGTCTATCTATCTTTTTTATTACTTGCTGGAAGTTGTGGCAGTGGCGTAATGGTACTATCCATGGAGTTATAGTCCCTCCTAGTGGGCACTGAGAGCTTTTAATCCGTAATTTGGTTCGAGATGTTATTGAGTCTGATGGTTATTCTAATGAAAATGGATCAGGAAAAAAATACGTGGTTGTTAATATTGCTTGGTAATTCCCTATGGAGGGTTTTATAAAGATTAATATTGATGGTGCTTCCCGTGGAAACTCCTGATATAACATTTTGTGGAGGGGTCATCTGTGATGCTCAAGGTTCCTGGATTGTTGGATTTGCTTATAAGCTTGGTGTGTGTAATTCCTTTAAAGCTGAGCTCTGGGGTGTCCTCTGTGGGTTGGAGCTAGCTTGGAACTCTGGGAATAGAAACATTGTTCTTGAGAGTGACTCATCCAGTGTAGTCACTGTGCTCACCTCTTCTGGTGTAGCAGCTCGTGAAGGTCACTTGATCTCTTGCATACGAGCTTGGATTCAAAAGGATTGGATTGTCACAATTCTTCATACTTACAGAGAAGGAAATGCTATTACGGATTGGATGACAAATTCTATTTTGAACAATTCTAAGAATTTGGACTTTCTAATCACTGAGGACTCTCCTCTGGATGTTCAAGCTTCTGCGGATAGTCCTCGCTTGCTGAACATTCAGTAGATTAGGTGTCTATTGTTTATGTTTATTTTGTTTTCTTGTTGGGCTTCGACCCTTTGATTTATCAAAAAATAAATAAATTATTTCTCAACTATTTTTTTAGGGGAAGGATATTGTAACTACCAAGTTACTACCAATCAATCTCACCGTTAGATCGATTATGTTGATTCAACGATTATATTTATTTTCATCTTTGTATGGTCATGATTTCCCAATTTTAATACTTTATATTTATTTCTACCTTTGTATGACTATGATTTCCCATATTTAATGCTTTCACTTTAAATATGGGGAATCATAATCATACAAAGATGAAAATAAATATAAATGTTGGATCAACATAATCGATCTAACGGTGAGATTAATTGGTAGTAATATGGTAGTAACACAACTTGGTTATTACAATATCCTTCCCCATTTTATTAATCTTCTAATTTATTTTATCATTCTATCGATTATCATTTTAGTTTTTTTTTTGAGTATTTATGCAACAAAAGTCGGGTGGCTTAGGTGATAAATTAGGGTGTTCATGACAACGTTTCCAGAATCAAATTTTTTTTTTAATTTCTGCTCCCGGGAACAGAAATGGATAGAAAACTCGTTTGGTAAAATCGGTTTATTTTTTTGTTCCCAGGATGAACTGGTTTATTTTTGTGTTGGGGAACAGAAAAAAGAATCAAAAAAATTGATTTCGGGAAACGAGTTTTACCAAACGAGTTTCCTATCCATTTCTGTTCCCGGGAACAGAAATTAAAAAAGAATTGATTCCGGGAAAGTTGTCATGCACACCCTTATTCCTCTCAATTATTCTCCACCACTACCATCATCACCACCACCACCACCATCCCGACACGACCACCGCTACCATCGTCGTACCACCACAACTGTCATTACCACCACTACCATCACCGTCACCACCATTATCACTACCACTGTCACCAACCACCACCACCACCACCATCATCATCATCATCATCATCGTAGTCACTGCCATCACCACCACCACCACCGCGCCACCACTACTACCGCCATCGCCGCTGTTGCCACCACCATTACTACCACCACTACCATCATTACACCACCGCCAGCATGTCATCTCCATCACCATCGTCATAGACACTGCTGTAACCACTACCACCACTACCATCGCCGCCACCACCACCAACATTACCACCACCACTACCATTATCATGCCACTGCCACCGCCACCACCATGTCATCATCATCAACATCGTCGCAGCCACTGTCGTCACCGCCACTACTGTCGCCACCGCTACTATGCCACCATTACAACCACTGCCGCTGCCGCCACTGCTACCATGTCATCACCATTACCACCACTACTGCCACCACCACCATCGCTACGACCATTGTTGTCACCACTACCATCAGCACATCATCATCATCACCACTACCACCACAATTACCATCACCGTCACCACCATTATCACTACCGTCACCACCACCACACCACACCACTACCACCATCATAGCACCATTACCACCGTTGTCGCCGCCGCCACCATTTCATCACCACTATTGCCACCGCCACCACCACCACCACACCATATGAAAAGAAAAGTGATGATCCGAAATTTTTTTATGCTTAATAGGAATGATTTTTTATTCTATTATTTATTGTGTTATCAAACGCAATTCTCATTCTCGGAATAAAAATAAAATATGTTATCAAACACATTTTTTTTCTCAGTAACTATTTCAAGGCACAAAAATAAAAAAGAATTGTTTCTTTTGAGTAACAGTGCCAGAGAACAGAATGATTGTCATGCAGACCTTAACCTCCCAATAATGATTATGAAAATAATGTTAGTGGTTTACATACAAAAGTAGAATATATTAGAAATAATTCTGAGGTGGAGCCCAAAAAAAAAAATTTTTAAAATGAAAAAAAAGAAAGTGGAACGGTGACCTGGTAATTCGGACACAGTTCCGTTTTATTTTGCTTCCTAATATTTCATCTCCGACCAGTTCCTCTAGGATTTGATTTTCTTAATTCTTAGGTATGCGAATCTCAATCTCTCTCTCTCTCTCTCTCTCTCTCTCTCTCTCTCTCTCTCTCTCTCTCTCGTATAATCACTGTATTTTGATGCCAATGTTCATTTCGTTATATTGCGATGTGATGAGTTTCAGAATCGATTTTTGTTCAAAGGAAAATTCGATTATTTATTTTTGTTCGTTATTTTATGATTGGATCAGTTGATTGCGATGGATTCGAGTTCGAGCCAGGAATTCGATTATTTGTTTAAGTTGTTGATGATTGGGGACTCCGGTGTTGGCAAGAGTAGTCTCCTCCTCTGTTTCACCTCCGATACCTTTGAAGATCTCTCCCCTACAATTGGTTTGTTTTGTTCCTCATTCATTTCCAAAACTCACATGCCTTTTGTTGTTGAATCTAGGTTTATGCATCTTAGGAACAAGCCATTCATTGTCTTTGACATAGCCATAGCATGTTATTAGTGTAGCCTTAGCTGATAGCTCACTGATTCTCCCTGCTTTGTTTTGTTCAATTAATTGCTATTCAGTGTGATCTAGAGTTTCATGCTTTTTTTCTTGTTTGATGTCTCAATATAGGTGTTGATTTTAAGGTCAAATATGTGACTATGGATGGTAAAAAGCTGAAACTTGCCATTTGGGATACAGGTGTTCGCTTGTGTTTATTTTTTTATTGATGTTTCAATTGATACCTTTCTTCAAATCCTTTCCTAGCAGTAGTGTCTAATTGTGGATATATGGTGATTAATTATGCAGCTGGTCAGGAGAGATTCAGAACATTGACAAGTTCTTACTACCGAGGTGCGCAAGGGATCATCATGGGTGAGTTTCAATTCTCCATTTCTTGATTCACCACCCTCCCAGTCAAATACTTATCAATTGGGTGAAGTGTTTTGAGTTTTCATGAGAACCTAGACTGGAATATATTGTAACATTTTGTATGATGAGAGAGATACGTAGTTCAGTAGTTTGTCTTTCTCTTGAAAGTTAACCTATGCCTTTATACTGTTTTTTGCAATCTGATACAGTCTGTGATTCGCTTGGTAAAGATGGTATGAGCAAGTTGGTTCTTTGCTGAGAGGAGTTAAAGCCAAAACTTAAGTTGTGCCACGCTTTTAGTCCATGGTTAAAGCTTCTTTGTTGCCTAACTTGCCTCACACAATCAAACCAAATGCTTGCCATAAAGCTAATCTTTTCAAAGCAATGATGATGGGCATATAGGTCTAATTGATGGTGGCTATAAAGAGCATTGCAGAAATAAGGGACAGTAATGGCAGAAGATAAGTAAAGAGGGGATCTTGAAAATAATCTTTTCTTGATGCTCTCAAGCATTTGTGGAGCATGTAAACTATTTGGTTACTTACAAATTAATACACTTCATACAACTTTAAGTCATTTTCCTTGACCCGTGCTGAATCTTGGAATACCACTTCAATATCATTGTGAGAGTTGAAAATCATTCATGTTGCTTCTTGCTTGAGAAAACTTAACTATGCATTGGACATTGATAAAGATATTGGCAAGCAAATACTGAAAATCATACTTTCCTACATATTTCATGCTTTGGTTCGTTAACTGAATTTCTCTTTGTTTAATTGAGCTGCGGCAATTCAGGGACCAAACTAAAATTACCGTTCTAAGTTGTTGGTTGAATTCACCAGGAAATGGCGGGCATATCTCTATCAGTTGCATTATGTTGAATGGTCTTTGGATATTGGGAAATGTAGTCCCCAATAAATGTTTTGTTGAAATTTTAGTTTTCAATTAACTGAATTTAGCTCCTCAAACTGATGCAGTTTATGATGTAACTCGGCGAGAAACATTTACGAACCTCTCTGAAGTATGGGCAAAGGAGATAGACCTTTATTCAACAAATCAGGACTGCATCAAGATGCTTGTTGGAAACAAAGTGGATAAGGTATCTGTCCTAAATATCATATACTCTCCCTTCATCTTTCTGTGCGTTTTTCAATCATGTCAAATTTTTGTTTGATTACCGGAATCTATACATATGTTTCTGGCTGTCTGTGCTGGATATCCATGCTTAAAATCAATGTTAGTTGGTACTTTAAATTCTCTTTCTTCTGGAGAAATTCTTAGGAAACTTTGATTCAGAGAAAATACTATTGGATATCTTCAGACCAATTTCTGCCTGCTCAGTTTAAAGGGTGTGGAATGGAGGAGGGACAAATTCTCTGGCACTGTGCTCTTTTTGTGGGGTTTTGTTGTTTATGGATGGAGCATGATGCCTGAGTTTTGAATCAAAAGTTTCTGCCGTCCCATCTGTTATAGAATGCAGTTTTTCTGATTTCCATGTGGGTGTCACTTGTCAGGCCGTCAATGTGCGGTCTTTCAGAGCATAGTAGTTAATTGCGCCGCAATAGCGCCGCGAGGGCGTTGTGCCGCACCAGAACGCAATAGCGGCCATTGCGATCGCATTTGCGGCCAAATCATAGCCATATTGCTGTCATAAGGCAAAATGTCAATTTTGTCCTAAATTTAAATGTGTAACAGAAATTTTTTTAGGATTTTTTAGTCTATCTGCGTCTCTCTGTCACTTCTGCTACATCTGCCTTTAAAAAATGTTTCTTTTTGCATAGTAGTTAATTGCGTCGCAATAGCGCCGCGAGCCGCGCCGTATGGGCGTTGCAGTGCCTCACCGCAAGAAACCGCTCCGCGCCTCATCGGAACGCAACAGTGGCCATTGCGATCGCAAATCGCGGCCATATTGCTGTCATAAGGCAAAATGTCAATTTTTCCTAAATTTAAATGTGTAACAGAAATTTTTTAAGGGTTTTTTAGTTTTTTAGTCTATCTCCGTCACTTCTGCTATCTCTGCCTTTAAAAAATGTTTCTTTTTGTCATTATTTCTGTTATATATCTATTCCACTATTTTCGCAACCGCAACCCACTATAGCGCTATAGCATTTTTCGGGGTTGATCGCGACATGCCGCAATCTGCATTTGATAACTTTGTCTTTTTGTCATATATCTATTTCGCTATTTTTACAACCGCAACCCGCTATAGCATTATAGCGTTTCTTGGGGTTGGCTACGACATGCCACAATCCGCATTTGATAACTTTGTTTCAGAGGAGTTTCTGTTATAGATGTACAAAGGGGTTGGGGGGATTTTTTGGGTTAATGTACTTGTCTTTGGTCTGTTTTGTCTTTTCCCTTTAGTTTTTCTAGGTTCCTTGGCCTTGATTACATATCCTCTATTTCCATTTTGTCTTCTAGTTCTTCTGGGAGGATTACTACCCTCTAAATTAAAAAAAAAAAGGAAAAAAAAAAGATAAGGAAGCAAGTTTTTTTGAATGATTTTACTTTGTATTTAAGTAAATGTAAATCTTGTATCACATTGAATCCCCCTCTATTGGATGCCATTGGTACAAGAAAATCTTCTTCCATTCTGGCCCAAGTATAAGAATAATCTCATGTCTTCGATGTCTCAAGTCTGCTACATGTCTCATTTATTTCGTGTTCAGAATTATGCATTATATTAGAGTTTATTACTATATTTATTAATGCATTCCATAAGAGGACTTGACATACAGATGGATAATATTTGCTTTTCAGGAGGGTGATAGAGTTGTGACAAAGAAAGAGGGAATAGAGTTTGCCAGGGAATATGGTTGCCTATTTATTGAATGCAGTGCTAAAACTCGAGTTAACGTACAACAATGCTTTGAAGAGCTTGTTTTGAAGGTATGTTGAGTGACATATATGCCTATTTCCTAACTTAACTTTGGTCCATAATTGGTGTACTGCATGCATTCCTTATGCATGTAACCATACTACTTTCAAGCGAGAGCACTGGCTTGCTATGAGAGTAAGGGAAGCAAATCATGATTGTTGAATCATGCATAAGTGGTCATTATTAAAATCATGCAACTTTCTCTTTTTAGTATCTTGGTCATCCATGTAAGTTTCAATTGTTATGATTTGCTCTTCTTACCTCTCATAATAACCCAATACTTTCACTTGACATGCCTCTTATATATGATTGCGGAAGGCAGAAATGTTTAATTGAAAAAAGTATGCTGTACAATCTTGGGAAAGTAGTTATTTGGCAGGTAAATAGCTAATTATTACTCATGATACGGAATAGACACAAGTTGACGCGTAAAGAAAAATTGGTACATGGGGCACATGGAAACGGATTGCATTTTTTGAGTTGTTATAATCAACATGTTAATATCATAGAAAACGACCATAATTTTTTTAATATTTTTTTGTGTTTCCCCAGATTCTGGACACACCTAGCCTCTTAGCCGAGGGCTCTAAGGGGGTTAAAAAGAACATTTTTAAGGACAAGCCACCCCAGTCTGATGCTGCCACAAGTAGTTGTTGCTGATATTGAAAGGCTATTTCACTCCAAAATTTACTGTCCACGAGAAAGGCGTTGAATCCATTTTCAGAATCAGAGTTCTAACACAAGTTTATTGGTTATTTAGTAGCTGTCGAAGCCTTAAAGAAAAGTATCTAGGTTCCTGTTTTGTCTTTAATATTATATGTAATATATTGATGATGGTTATCTGCATTTTTCTTTGGTTATTGTTTATCGTTGAGTCACATTTAATGTCATATAATAGACATGCAAGAATCTTGCATATCATGTTATGGAAACCAGTTCAAATTGCATATAACGCCTATACTCAACAAAAAGATTAAAAAGCAGGATATTCATCAAAGCTATCCCAAAGAACTGGCATAACTGGGCTTATCTTTTGACACCGGTGTTAAATACATCTCATCTAAAAGCTGTTAGATCACAAAAGATCAACGATTCTGATTTGTAAGCATGTGACACCATTGATCTTTTCTGATCTAACGGCTTTTAGATGAGGTGTCAAACTTTAAAGTTGATACCGGTGTCAAATGATCTTGCCTCATATATATATATATATATATATACATTATTAACATTCGTAGTTAAAATAAAATTAAATAATATTGAATTTTGAACATTAATCTGAGTTTATCAAAAGATATAGGGGAATTGGAACGCTTCTCTATGGTCTCTATATTCAGAAATATTTTGGAAATCTTATAGAGTTAACACGTTAAGTATTAAAAGTTAACAAAGTAAATATAAGTGGAGGTCTTATTAGATACAATATTGGCGTTTTTACTTTTTATTATTGGTTTTGTTTCCATAATTACTATAGTATTACGTATTATTTTGTTTTGAATCCAAAAAAACAAATGTTACTATCTTAAAATTAATAATTAAAGCTTACTGAAAAAATTAATAATTATAATTGTTAATGAGAAATTCAGATATGTATGAACGTTATTCTTTACTTGATCCGCTAAAGATGAAAGTGTTAATACATTATTAGTCTTCTAAAAATTTTGGTCACCAAATTAATCCTTCAAAGATTAGATTTTACTATATTAGTGTTCCAAATATTTATGCTAGCAAATTAGTCCCTCAAATATATAAGACAATTACTAAATTCGCCTTGTGTCACCACTTTAATTCACCATAAGAATGAACATGGTGATATTTTAAATCTTTGAAGGGTTGATTTAGCGAAAATCTTTAAAATATTTGTGTGAGGACTTGCTAATCTTCTGAGATACTAATTGGATGACAAAATGTTTTAAAGGATTAAAAAAAGGGTTTATTCAAGAAATATACTATTCGTTTATTTATTTAATAAAATATATTTTAAGAAAATAAGAAAAAAGTTAATTAAAGAAAATAAAATAAACAAATAGGATTGGTAAATGGTAATGTATATTCTTTTAAAGATATTGAAAAGTTAATACCAAAAAAATATTGAAAAGTAAACTTCGAAATGTTGAAGTGATTTTATGCATAATCAAAAGCAAATTTAATTATACAAGAGGTTTATGATAGTAATATTATACTAAGTGCATGCTGAGATTAACATGCGACGGTATTGAGCCCACTTCTTAATTCAGTGATTAGAAACAGAAAGTTTAGCATAGATAATCTGAGACAAAGATAGAGTTAAAGCTTGGGGCTTTTGCCCCTCTTTATTACAAAAAAGAAAGAAAAAGAAAGATAGAGTTAAAGCAAAAACACACTAAAAGGAAACGGTGAGGATTTAATTTTTGGGAGGTTTATATTAAATTGTTTCCTAACATTAAGATTGTATATAAATTGAAATTAATGTTTTTTTGTGTATCAGGAGATAAAATTATTTTTTATAAATTCAAAATGACATAATTTTGGGGTTTAAAAAAAAGATAGAGTATTAGAGTAAAATTCTTGATATAAGAAAAAAACAAAATATTCTTTATTTTTTTCTTAAACCTCAAATATACAGTTTTGGGGTTGTACGAGATAAAGTTATCTCTTATTGTAAGAGAAACATTTTTTTAATATAAATTACTAAAAAGGGAAATTATAAATGCAATAAAAGAAAGTACATATCAACAAACTAATTTTTTAAATTTTACATTACATTTACAAAAAAAGAGAAAATAAAGAGAAATACAGAAAAAGAGGAAAAAAAGTGTTAAGTTGCTTTATAGGTGGGAGCCTTTGCTATTCCTTTTTATTAATTTAGATTTTCTCATACGCTTTTAAATTTGATATCCATAATTAACCTTAAGTGATTCTAAACTTAATATATTTGTATTTTCCATATTAATTTCTAATCATATTTTATGTTAGTTTTAATTTGATTTTTCCCTTTAAAATAAGGGTTTGTTTTTTCTAAAGTTACTTTAGACAACTTTGTCTAATGTTCATCGAAACGACGTCATTTTGAGGTTGAAAAATTAAAAAATTAGAATGATAAAGACTATTATAATTCTGAAATAAATTAAAATTACAAAAACACCACGATAAATGGAAAAAAAAGTTTCTGATGTTACTTTAGACAACTTTGTCTAATGTTCATCGAAACGACGTCGTTTTGAGGTTGAAAAATTAAAAAATTAGAATGATAAAGACTATTATAACCCTGAAATAAATTAAAATTATAAAAACACCATGATTTTCGCCCCAAAACGACGTCGTTTCGATGAACATTAGATAAAGTTATCTAAAGTAACTTTAAAAAAAATAAACCCTTTTATTAATGATAAAATTCATAAATTAGAAAAGAGAAAATAATCTATCATTGAACGATTGAGATTTTTAACTTGATCTCAAGTTGAAATAAGATTGAGGATGATTCCACCAATTGTCCAATTCTATTTTCCTCAAAAACTGTGCAAATTAAAAAATTGGATATATAAAATACTTTTGTCCTTTTTATTTAAGGGGATATTATTTTTCACGTTGCATGAGACAAATTTATCTTATATAATACAAAAGAAGTGGGTGGGATCTACTAATTCCTTTCTTTAAACTCTAAATTACTCTCTTATCTTCAAAACATATTTAAAACCTCTGGTTTGAGATTTTATGACTTGTTTCTTCAATTTTAATACCCAATGCCCGACACAAATATTATATAATGTCAAAATTACAGTAATGATCAGTAGCTATGCACTAGGTAGCGCACATATGTTAGATTATGCGTAATGTGATACCACCTTTGGATTTGGAGCTTCTTGATATAAAAAAATAGTGAACTCTGGAAAATGGTGATTTGATATCGTTTGGGTGCTATATAATCTGATTAGTGATACTCAATAGTTGGAGCTGATTATTTGGGAGGAGTAGTGTTGGTCTAAGATCTGGAAGTGGAATGATCCTCTATTATAAAAGACAGTGGGTGAAAGATCACTAAAAGACTTGAATCTGAATGTAATAGAGAAAATTAAAATGAAATTATCAAACACAATGCAATAAGAAAAATAAGAACAGACTCACGGTACAGGAAAAGTATAAACTAGTATGCAGAATAGTGAAAGAAATTCGAGTCCAACACAGTTGTCTCCTTGAGACAATTTGTTCTCTCACTATTGCCGAAGGTAGATGAACAAGTGTCTCCCAGGATAGAACGTATTGCGTCTCAAGGATGATGGCAACTACCAACCAAGAGCCCAAACGAAAAACAACAGTATGTCTGAAGAATTACAGGGATGTATGGATATCTGCACAAGGGAAGCAAAAAATCGGCAGAATAACAATGCAGAAATTTTTTATGAATTTTCTGAAGGGAGGAGCGTTTATATAGACGTCGAAAAGTCACGATGAAACACCGTCGGCAAACCGCTGCATCGAACGGCAGCCAAAATGTGCGACCGATGACCAGTTCGGTTCAAATTCAACCGAATGCACCTGTTCGATTCAGAATGAAACGAAAGGTAAGAACCTATTCGGTTCAAAAATGGCGGAAAGCAACGTTTCGGTTTGAATAATTTTAGAGGGAAGCAACGGGGACATGGGTATTTTGGACAAAAAATTAATAAAATAATTTAATAAAAATTCTTTTAATTTCACAAACACGAACGAACCGAGCCGAACAGATCCGATCCGAGGCGGCCGGACAAACGGACGAACAACGATGGCGGCGCTCGCGTGCGTGTGTGGTGAACCAAAGGCCACCTAGCTTCTCTCCCCTCCACAAAAAGTGTAGTGCCCCAAGGGACAATTTAGGAGTGTGAGGTGAGAACTTATATACTCTCTCGTCTCTTATTAGCTGTCCAATGTCGGACTTCTTATAACCCACACACCCTTTCATCTTCCCTATTTTCTTTTTTCCTTCCAAACCCCTTCTTATCCGTAACCCATGAAGAGTTTTATACTTAAAATTCTAACAATCCTCCACAGTCAATTCATCATAAATATATGCAAATGAATATGAATGCAAACTATAATTCCTCAACAAGAAACAATTGCATTGAGATAGGTAAGGGTTACCTTTGAACCTTCCTTAGTAAAACCTATCGGATGTACTCGGTCAATCGGTGGTCATGGCGACTTTGAACCGTCGACCTTTTGTGTACACTAGACAATAGGAGTCGCACAATTGCTTCTCTAACATTGTTGGTCCTTTGTTGTTCCCATTTTGTCAGTGGGACACCTGCCTGGTTCTGCGAGTGTTCTAGAGAATCGGCCTTTAAAAAATTCTCATAGAAGCGGCCCTCACTTCACACTCACATGTGATTCCTTGTGATGCAACTCACTATACATCATCTGAACACATCAAATTAAGAAATCATTAAAAGCTTAAATGCTTACCTTTATAAATTCATTGTCTTGTCATAGGAATGAGTATGAGTTTAGAAACTCCCCAATATTTTAACTGTGGAACATCACTTAGTTGTCTCTTTGAACCTAGTTCGTGGGATCTCCACTCATCAAGGTAGAGTTACCACAATGATCAACAATTGATAGGCCTTAAACTCATTTCTTTCGACAAATTCTCAACCAATTCTCTAGGAATCCCTTTATTTAACGGATCCACTATGTTCTCTTTAGACTTAACATAGTCAATTGTAATGATTCCATTTGAGAGCAGTTGTCTTACGGTATCATGTCTACGACGTATATGTCTAGACTTACCGTTATACACTGCTTGGCTATCACAGTGTATGCATACGGCTGGTACCGACTTTGGCCAATTAGGAACATCCTTAATAAAATTACGAAGTCATTCGGCTTCCCCACCGGCTTTATCTAAAGTAATAAATTCTGCTTTCATAGTTGATCTTGCAATACAAGTCTGCTTGGACAATTTCCAAGACACAACACCTTCACCAA